ATCCAGAAGAGTCCCACAGCACCGCGCAGTAAATTCAAGCCAAACAACATTTGGCTTTGCTCTGCTGGARCACATAGCTACAAGTGTTTCATTTCCAAGCTGTAAAGTCTATCCATAGCCCTCCAGTGTGCACGAACAGCCAGATTATCAGCTCAGTACKGTTCCCTATCAGCAGACCCCGTTTGTATATTCCATTAAGCTTCCGACAGAAAGCAATAAACACAYCCATAATCTCACTAAACTTCCCTCCTGACTTTGCCAAACTACCAAAATACCTATGAAAAWRAAAAAAAAAAAATCCCAAATCTTGCAGGGCTAAGTAACCACAACTACTGCCTGCTGAAGCTCTCAGGTGTGTGTCTCCCAACTTTTAGAATAATGTTTGGGGAGATGTAATAATGAGAGAACTAAACCTCTGGCTGCAGTTTTATCACGATGCATCTTACCCAGGTAAACTCTGTAAAGAAAAGTTGAACATTTCTTGTTAAAGCTGCATTTGAGCAACAATGTTATTTATTCAGCCCAACCCATTCTTCTTTAGGAGGCACAAAGAGGGACTGCTAGACCAGTACAATTATGAGTGATGAAAAAAAAAATTTCATGTGATGCAGAAATCTTGATACCACAGGCATTTGAATGAAGAATGTCTACTTTCATAGAAAGTTTTGATAGAAAAATCTAATCTCATGCTTTTTTCTTTGAACAAAAACATCTGGTTTGGTATTTGATATTTGATATTCTTTCCTTTTTCTCTTTTAAAAATTTCTACTTATATAGGTGTGTGTCTATGTATAGAAACAAAAATTGTTCTGGTTTTCCTATAAAACGATTTAAGATTCAGTTTTTAAAAGAAAAAAAATAAAGAGATTATGTTATTTTATATTAATTATGTTTTCTTATTATAATCTCAGCATTTAGCAACCATATGCAGACAGCATTTGAATATTCATTTGCAGAATGGTGAGGAATGGCAAACGAAAGGATTCCTGACCGCCTGTGAGAATCAAKTATGATGACTGATTCCTCACACTTGAATTTAAATGTCAGAAGAGACTGCTTTCTCCAAACTGTTAGTCACTGCAGTTCAACACAGATGCACAAAAGAAATACTTTGATTCTTTGTGGGTTTTAAATTAGAAGTTGAATTTTAAGCACTAATTGCCATAAAGTGATCTGACACGGTTACTGTAAATCCAGCATCCACGTGCTCRCAGGGGTACTGGAATGAATTGAGCCAAACGAACTACCTGTGGCTCTAGCTGAAATATGGAAAAGTCCTGTCTTCCCAGCCAGAGATGGTCATAAAAACTGAGCAGCTGATAAAAACACCAGCATCTTTTACCTTAAAACATCCTTGAATGATTTTTACTAACTATTATTTGTTGTTTGCATTTTGTAACTACACTTGCTCAAAACTACTTTCTCTGATCCAAACCCCAGTTTTTCTCTCAGCTTTATTCAAGCAAAATTCTCACTGCAGCCACAAAGACAGATCAAACTTAGCCTAAATTTTCTGCAAATACATTTTTTATTTGAGTTGCACATTCAGAAAGCTTTAAATTCCAGAAAAATCAGGCTTTGCCAAACGTATGAGACAGGCTGGAAAAGTATGAGTAAGTGGCTGCAAACATGCTGCATTCTGAATATCCAAAATGTGGTTTTGGCATTGCAATTCGAGAGAACCCAAGTGAAACCAAATAAAAAATCACAGATAAGACCAACTTAATGATGTCAGTGCTCCCGTGCATAGGCATCTTGGCCCTGGCTGTGACTGAGAATGCTGATCAAAGAAGTCAAAAGGATTTAAAGARGAGGAAAAATGCAAATAGTTCTACACCCTCTGCCGCTCAATCTGTTGTTCTGATAGGTTGTTACCATAGTGTCAAGGTTTTTCCAAATACTTAAGCACTCTTCCATTATCAAAATATAAAATATCTACGACAGACATCAATTCTGGAAGATGCACCCCAACACAGCTTACTAAAAATAGAATCTAAGGGAAGAGAACACTATTAATTGCAGAAGTTGAAATTAGTTCCTTGTTCCTGCTTCTTCCTAAGATGCAAAAAATGAATTACAAAAAAGGCAAGAGGGGGCAGATGTTAATTTAATATTTCAGCAGTCTAGTTTTCGTGCACTTACAAGTGGCATCAGCTCAGTGGTGCTTCAGCTTACAATGGTCATAACACACAACTAGTATAGGGGTACAWATAGAAAAGTAGAACAACCCTATGCAACAGTCCCACAGAAGCATGGCTGGCTACACCTRTATGTGCAGGAAACCCCTGGAACTCTGGAGATATCAAACAGAGCACAAATCACCATGTGATTTCACAAGAGCAACTATGAGGGGTGGTGGGTACAGAGAACATGAAGCCACCTTCTRAGGGCTGTGGAGGGAAAGGATGGCAGGCAAATGTTAAAAGGTGAAGCAAGGGAAGTTCCATTTGGATAAACAGAAAGACAGTCTGTGTAGTGAGGGTGTTAAGACTGGAACAGATTTCCCAGAGTTCTGGATGACTGCAGACATCCAGAGATTGCTTCCAACCTAAGTTACTCTCTGAGTCTATGAAACTCAGGAAGTCTCCTACAGCAAGAGACTGCCTGCCCAGTAAAAGAGTGAGCCTCAGAGAGACTCGACCTGTATGGTTTTTCCTAGGAAGAAAGAGCTGTTTCAATGATTATTCCACACTATTCAGAAGATGGGAAGCTGGAACCACTGGTGGAGAAAAGATCTGTTGAAACWCTGGATCTTATATGATTTTATGTCACATGGACCCAGAGTCAGCAGACTGTTCAGCAGACTGTTCACCATGAAGGGGACAACTTCAGCAATTCTGCAGTCAATAGGGCTTGGAGAAGGAGAATTTGCCCTTTTCCTCATGGATCCTTGCTAGTCAGATTTGGTGTGAAGGGCTTAATTTGYTTTGCTGGAAAAGCTTTATATCCTTCACGTGTGTTAAGTGGCCAAGGACAGTGTTACAGCTAACATACAGGCAGGCATTCCTTAGAGCAGTGTTTTCAGCTGAAAGCAAGTACATTTTGGCACTATCTTCTCTAAAAACACCCAATCCCTCTTACTCCTCCTTCCCCCACCCTCAGTGGGAATATCTGATTATATCCTTTTCACTCAAACACCACACAGCTCCTCTTTCTTGGGGCCTTTCACACAAAAGCAAAGACTCACAAAGAGGAGACAGGCACCATTGTGTTCGTGTGTTCCATGGCAACGTTTTAGCACTCTAAGAGTTTGCAACAATCCAAATKATGTTTCTGTTCTTTATTAATGATATTTCCCAGCTGTTTCTGGTTGACAAAGAGAGGCCTGGTCCTTCTTTGTTCCAGGCTGTGCCCTGGTGCTGCAGCAAGCTCCAGGAGGGCTCACACAGGGCTCTGTAACTCAGGAGCACAGCCCCAGTGAGAGGCTGCAGATACACATAGCTGGAGCCTGTAGATATTGATCTGCTGTAAATGTCTGTRTTGTGCTTATATAATGAAAAGTAAGCACGTGCTTAATCATATCTGTGCACAAAATATTTGTCTACAGCAATGGAATCTAGAAGTACCTCAGCATTCTGTCTTTTGTTACAGTAATTGTGAAGAAATACAGTTTCTCTCTTAGGACATATTTTTCTTTTAGGACTTATTTGTCATTCCCTTCAGTAAAGTTTTCATGTCATTTTTCTTCTTCATGCAGTCATTATCTCCTTCTTATCCTGGCATGTACATTATGCAAACATGCTTCACATTCACACAARCCCTGCTCTGAATACATTACTGCCKTCTCTGCAGTGATTCCAGTGGGTTTGTACAAGAACACGGTGCAAGGCCCAGTTCTTTCTACTCTCCACCTCAAGGTTTCCTTTGGATCTTTATCCCTGACTTTGGGCTTGAACTTTGAATTGCTGGTAAGAATTGTTCCTAGTTGGAATTTTTGTAGTAGTAGGATTCTATCTGCATTTATTCTTTTTTGGATAAAATAGCATGGACACAGGAATGAAAGTATTTGGAATACAGAAATGGCAGGGGATGTCAGTGATGCTCARGCTAATCTGGGAACAGTGCACTGCTCCTCTCAGTGTGGATCTGGGCAGGCACAGTGACCCTCTCACTGCAGAGTCCAGCTCTGCTCATCCGTTTTCACCTGCACCAGGAATTTTCCCAACGTGACAGCTGAAGTGTCTGTGATATTCATAACTATTATGAAAAATTTGGAGTTTTAAGATCCAAAAGGATTTTTACATGTTTTGTTTAATTTTGATTGTGCAAATCACACAGACAAACAGAATTTTCACACCATGTCAGTCCCTAGAAATATATAATCCATTTCTGACTAGCAAATAGCTTCTTTAGTTAGGCAAATTTTGAAACACAATTAGAAACTTTTTTCCTAAGCAGATCTGCAGATCTGGAAATAAAACAGGATATTTCACCCCTCTGCCTTTTTTCCTTCCTCTTTTTCTGTAGAAGCCATTTAATCACACCCAGGCTAAATTCACACATAGTTTCAGACTGAGGCTTTTCATATGATCTTCAGCTAAAAAGTTTCACTTAACYTTTGAAATTACTCCAGTTATTTTACATACATGCCTCGAAACGTCTATGCCTATCCCCTCTCAGATTTAAAGTCCTTAATTTACTGTTAAGAGATCTGTTCTTCTTTAGAMGAAATTCTCATTAGAAGCATGGAATTTTAACTGAGACAATTGTACTATTTTTCAGGACAGATAGTTAAAGCTATGGAGTGTAGAAGGCAGTTCATGTTTACACCAGTCATAGTCCAAAAAGGAAGGACCCAATTTTCTGAATGCCTGGGACAGTTCTTGGCTATCCAAGAGTCTTGCCTTTTCCATCTCAGCATTCCTTGAGAAGGAATTACTTTATCTGTTCCACAAGTTGCTGAGTATATTRACCATGAGGGTCTACAGTTCTTTTTACAGTTTAGTTTTTAATTGAAAAACAYACCAAGCATGTGATAATAGCAGAAGGCATTCACTTACCCTATGACAATGCAGGAGATGGCAGTTCCCAAAAAGGCGTAGGTTAAAATTGATCCTAAGTTACGAAAAAAATGTCTCTGCAGAGGAAAGTTTGAAAGAAATTCCTTTGTAATGTAGTCAATTAGAAAGCATTCAAACCAAAGAGAAACACAGCATCTAAAAGGGCCATATCTCATATAGAAGATGGAACAATATTGGYTACTTCACTTGTATTGGAAAATACAGTTTAAAGACTTTTTTTTTGTTGTTTTTCCCCTGATGGAATGCCATCAAAGTTCCCTCTTCTTCGTGTATCTGGCCAAATGCTTCAGCACCATAGCAGAAATTCAAATTGGAGGTATCTGATGCAAATGGTATCATAACCCCTTCCCTTGAACAAAGTCCYGATCAGGCAGGATATGAAACACAGAGAGGCTGCTCCTGCCTGCAGTTCACAGCATTCAAAGCGGTCTCTTCAGAAAATAAGGAGGCCTAAGTGATTTAAACTGCGCAAGGAAAGGAGCAGAATGAGGGCCATGAATCATTCATTTTAGTCCATTYTGCCAAGCTCTTCCCTGGCAATGTAATTGTTAGCTGGCTCTGTCCTCTGCCACCGGCCTGTTGGGTCCACAGAGCAGCAAACACATTAGGTCCCTTTTGTCCCATAAGGAAARGACACATACCTTCTTCAAACTATATCCAGCATGAAATATAATGGGTGGCAGCAAAATATTGAAGAAGATGGAAGGATCAAAGGTCATCTGCCAGAAAGGACAAAGGAGAGGGTAAGGACAAATAAAGTAGCATTTAATTTGATAAAATAGATTTTAATTGTATTTCTTATCAGGACTATTTCAGGTTCATCTCCACTATCTGTGGGATTATTCTRGGTTGATCTCTTGCAAGTATAAATGTGTAGCTCCTTACAGCTTACAGATGCAGAGTACTACTTGAAAAGCATTCTTTCAAGAGGGAAATCAGTCATGTGCTACATTACAGGGAGCACATAAAAGCAACATTACYTGAGATAGCAGCTGCACTACCAGACGTACAACTTGACAGTCCTGTGACAAAAGTCCTGCTTCAGGCATGGATCTTCTGTTCACTTTCAGGAGAGACACATCAGCAGTGTTGTATCTCAATTCCTTGTGTACAGAATGGTGATAAAAGGCCCACACTACCAAAACCAACGTAATGTTTCCTTTGAAGGAAATGGTTTATAAARTTGCCATTAAAAGTTTTAAAGTAATGCTAGAATGAGGAAGTGCACTGTTCATATTGGCCTTCAACTTCTGGCACAGAGAGAAGACCATGGACATTGCCCAGCCATTGCAATTCCTTAAAAATGGCTTTCAATAAAATAGAACTCCCTTTAAAATGACAGCATTGCTGGAGAAAAAAACCCACTTAAATAAGCCTGTGTACTGCTTGCTGTTCTGTCAGTGAACTATATTATATCAATACTTTTAAAAGAGATGGGAGGTAATTAGTGCAAGGGCTTGCAGCTTCTTTGTTCAGATGAAGTGATATTTTAAGGAAAAATATTCTGGATTATTTTTCTTCAAAAGAGTAAGACTTGCCTACAAAATTATTTCTGCCTTCTCACTAACAGACAGCTTGACTAGATAAACAGGAAGTGAGAGCTGAGAGTTTTTTCCATCCTGCTCACTTTGAATTATAAAGCTGAAAAAAGCGAGCTGGCAAATGACCTGCCAGCAACATTAGCRGTGCTGGCACCATCACTGAAAACAWGATGGAAGAAGGATTTTCTTCACTTATGAACTAACAGTCTCACATGTTAATTTTGGAATTAATTCAGCAAATATGTTAAAATATATTTTCTGTGGGCGTCAGAAAAAAAAATCCTGACTGCATGTTTTATTATGCAAAACCATGTTCTAAAGAATACATGTTTTTAAGTCATGGCACAATCTATTGTCTCTGATAAAAGGCACTAAGTAAATGCTTTTGCTATGGTCAAAAGGGAATTACTGTTGYACAAAACCCAGAGCATGGTGTGATCATGCTTTCTGTTTTTCACATTAGTGCTTTTGCCAGTCAGGAAGGCTGCCAGGCATTGTTATTGTCTCCTAAATACAGCTGAATTTATCCCCTTTTCCTTTTTTATTTATTTTCTTYAGAAGAGGGCATCTGCCAGGTAATTTTAAAGGAAAAAGAAGTGGAAAATGCAGGCAGGCTGAGGTCYCTCCAATAATTTAGAGGAACTAAAATTCACAATTGAGACTTAAGAGCCTTCCAGCAAAGTGAGACTATGGAAACAAGATCAGGCAGTTCTCTGTAAGGGCAACAGAAATTTCTGTGCAAGTCAGTGCTCCTCCTTTCTCCTAAGTCATCTTCAGTACCCGGTCTACTGAAGATGATCAAATGTCATGGATTAGTTCATATGCCCTGGAAACTAAACACACTCTTTGACTAAGACACAGCTGCATCTGCAACCAACTAGCAGGAAAAAGGATGAAGATTCAGCAAAACCTGATTAGTCTGWCTGCCACAGTATTTTCCTGTCTCCACCCACCACAACTCTAATGGTCTGTGACAGTCCAGTTCTTTCTGMGAAGGGCAAGGCTTGCAGTAACAGCAGACAGGCACACAATGGTGCTGCATCAGCAAGAAATTTGAGCAGATGGTTAAATCCTAATTCTGCTGAGCTCCCCAGTGTACATTCCAAAGATAACTTAAAMGTTTTTATAATGTTAACAGTATAATACACATGATCATGTATTACTGTGCCAGACAAACAATAACAGTTGGAAAAAGCAAAATAATACATTGCAATATTGTAAAAAGCCACTGCTAAAGGTTTAGCAGCTTCATGCAAATATACAAGATGTGCTCATCTTTGAGCACAAAACCCAGGTTTTAAAAAGCACCTCTACTTTCCAGTGTTCTTCAAATGGCTGCCATTTAAAAGAAAAGTGAACATTATAAGAAGCAAATATTACATGGGCAGGGAAAGACTATATTAACAAAGTAAAATATTTTGTTATATACTGGAAAACAGGCAAGGCCTTGAGATTGCGAAAGACTGTGGATTTTCTCCCACACCTCCCTTTTTGCATCCAGCCTGAATTGCTGCAATGCTGTCTCCCCAAGGCAATGCTGAGGACCAMTGCAGGAGTGGAAGAACCTATGAGAATGTTGTGATGAATTTAAGTGTACATTAAGTACATATTTACAAGTTTGTGTTTTGAAAAATGTTTTGAATTAGCAGTTTCCTGTGCTGTCCACAGGAATGACCTCCCCTTGCATTATCCTGCCAGAGCAAGTCACTTTGAAGACACAGGGAAAAATGAAGATATCAGTGGGGTTTGTAAAGGTTTAGTGGCAATGAATCCAAATGAACAGCTGTGTCTACAATGCACTCAGTGTCTGCAGGAGCTGGGACTGTCGTCTGAAACAGCTCAGGCAACCATTCCACAAGTGCACAGCCAGCTGGGAGCTAAAAGATGGCCAGGGTTCTACTACACCTTGTTTACTTTACTGTTCTTCTTCCTTATTTACCTTGCTTACCCTTAATTCAGAATAGATTTTGTTTCATTTTAACTCGAAGCTTGTTTTCCTTTCTCTGTGATAAAAATAAAATCAATACCTTACAGAGTTTAGAAYCAGAATAAGATAGGTTTTACCTTTTGAAGCATTGCATTGCCCTGGTGACCATGGACATTGTGGTGGCTGATCTCTCTTTTGTATTGATATTCGTAGACATGATTAGTTACATTAATAAGSAGAGTGGATGGCCCAGATTTCAGCTTTTCACATTCATAAACAATCCCACTTTCAACATCTGATGATTTTGTCACATATCGTATAATTAATCCCATTACAAGGCCTGGAGAGTAAAGAAAAAAAGAAAAATGAAAAAGAGATTCAAGTACTTTTAAGTATTTAATGCTACACATTTACCTGTTTAGCGAAAAATTAACTCTGCCAAAGCTAGGACACCTTCTCAGTGTTTCTGCATTCATAGAACCTCTCTCAACACTTCATGGATGACTCCAAAATATTCTTCCAAAATGGTCATCTCATTAGAATGCAGATGTTGGTTTGACATATGCACAGTCATACTCCTATTGTTGTGATCCAGTTGCTGGCATAATTAACCGAGTTTCTCATCCACTGCATTTTCAATAGTTATTTAGAGCAGGGAGATGCGTGCACAGCTCATGTGCTGTACAGAGCATATAAACATCAGCTGTGCTGTTGGGGATTTTACACACTTCATTTGTGAGGASAAAACTCTGACACATCCTCAGGCACATTCTGCTTTCTGTAGAGGACTGCATGTTTGAGAYTGTATAACATTGAAAAATAAAATCAGCAAGAAGGGAGGGAATAAGGAAACTATCTACAATGTAGGGCTCTTACTTAAGACAGATATTTTGTTTCCTTTTACATTTAACAGAAAGGAAAATGTAGTTCTGCAGCCATCCTCTGGACAGTRTGGATCTTCCTCTTGGCTCTAGTGGGAGGCTGCATGTTTGCTTTAGGAGAGGTGAGTAATWTTTAGCTAGATAACATTACTGAAACTATTTCTACCCTCAGAGACTTCGATTTGGTTTCAAATTTAATTTCCATACTTCTTTTATGTCCTGTATGCTTTGAGTCCCATGGGATGAACAGCTTTACAATTACTAATTATTAACAGATTCGTAAAATGCTAAGAATGCTCAGATTAGATATTGACGGAAGACACCTAAACATCTAGACAAATATACTTACTATTGGCAGGTAAGAAAGAAATTAAATTACAGGAAATAGCAGAGAAGCATCTGCAAAATATGATATTATGGTTTTGGTTTGGCCCCATCATCAGATGGTGATACAAGTGATCATAAGGACCTCAGGAGTCCTTGTTATCATCACATCTTCTCCTAACAGAGCCTCTTGGAACTGCAGATTTCTGGTGTACCTATAAGTTTGTAACTTCTTGGTGTGATGCTGAGTAACAGCTGTCTTGCCTGTTTTAGAATGCGCATGCATTTATGCTTGTTTAGAATCTATTAAATATGGTTGCTYTCTTTAAATGATAGAGGATTTCAATAAGCTGTAGAAAATCCCAAGACCACTTCCTTAAGTTACAAGCATTTGTGCAATAAATCAGATAATAAATCTATCTGTAGTAAATGACAGAATTCCTCAAAATTAGGGGAAAACATTTATCTGTAAAGGGAAGCAAGCACTGCATGTGCTACTATGAAATATGACKTCCACAGTGGTCAGCCCAGATGTTCAGAATCATGAGTCAGAACCCAGGAAACCATTAATTAGTTAAAACTGTCAGGGKTTTCAGCTTATTTTTGTTAGTTTTCCTCTAGAAGAACCACAAATTTAAGTTTTAAATTCAATTTCAAATACATTAAAAATTCAGCTTAATTTGATGCTTGATGCTTTTCATTCTCTGGAGCAGAAAACTTGCGGGTTTTCCTTTTCCATTTTTGTCCCTATGACTCAATGCTTTAAACTATAGCCTCTGATGCACTTATATTACCAGGTATTACTTAATCTGCTCAGGTAACAGAAATATTGTGCAGTTATTCACCAAGGTCTGTGCAAGGATACTGGCAGAAAAACACTATTCAARAAGTGTTTTAAGCCCATTTATTTAAATGTAGCATTGAAACAGAAAAAAATGTCACTAATGTTACAGATTTCTTAAAAAATTCTCAACTGGCCTTTGAAGTTGGATCTTGCAGCAAAATCTCACTCTAACTGCAGCTCAGTCATRTTTCAACCAAAGGCAGTGGAGATTTTCCAGCTTCTTCAGCGGAAGCAGACAAAATCCTTAGTCATAGATATGACCATTGGAAGGGATTTTAAAAGAAAATGTGCCAAACTCCTGACCTAAACAGGATTGTTCTTTCCCCAGGATTTTATCTAGTCTGCTCTTAAACACTTCCCTTAGTAATGACACTCAGGGATGCAGTTTTAGTCATGACTTGATTTTCTCGAACATAAACTTTGTGAAATAATGTTGAGTACCTGTTGAATTAATTCTTGTGAAGTAATTCTGCATTATTCGAAATGCTTTTGGTTTCCTTACTTTGTAGAAAGATCTTTAAATTAAGTACAGCTATACTTAGTGTTGAACCACTGCTTTGATAAGAGGATAAAATTAATACACCTGAGTTATTACGGTTTCTAAATGG